AATTCACCCTAATATAGAAAAAAATAGAAATTTAATTTCAAATTAACTCCAATAACACATCATATTTACATTCCTTTTTTTTTATTATTTAATTTCTTTTTTTTTTTTTGGGGTTAAATTTTTTTTTTAAATATTATAATAACAAATTATTTTGTGAGTTAAAAATAAATAATTAAAAATAACAAGGGTTCACTCAAATTAGCAAAATTGAAATATTTACCACTAATAACATACACACACTTTTCTCACAATTACCCCTTCACACAAAAAAATTTATTACCTGTTTAACACACAAAGATACTCACTCTCACATAAAAGTTAAACACACTCACCCCTCGAGAAAAAATTTCACCCTAACTTTATTTAAATATTAATATTTATACACCAGTTATATGAATTGCGACCAATTATTTAAAAAAAATAAAATAAAAAAAATCGAATTTAAAAATAAATAATCCCAATAACATCTTCAAATGGAAAAAAACCCAATGGTATTGATCAAAATAGTTTAATCATAACAATAATATTAAATGTATCTCATTAAAAAGAAAGAAAGTTTATATTGAATGTTTTAGCTGTTAAACTTTGATCATTAATATAAAATTTTTTTTTTTTTAAAAAAAAAAAAAAAGTGTGGTTAAAATATATTTGGATGTGTGAGTGTGTTGAAAATATAATATAAGGTGAGTTTTTTAATATTAAATGAAAAATGGGTGTTATATATAAAATTTAAATATTTTGCACACAGATAAAAAATTATTTTTGGATAAAATTCAAGTGTTAAAAATATTTGTGTGTTAATGTACTTGTGAAAATAGTTATAATAAATGTGTGTGTGTGAGAGTTAGTGAGTGTGCTTGCTTGTTTAAATAATTATTATTTATAATAACTAATAAAATACATATAAAATAAATATATATTATTTATATTAAAAAAAAAAATAATTAAAAAAATAATTAATAAAAAAATGATATATATGATTGTGTTATTTTTATATCAAAAAAACTCAATTAACCTAATCAATCCATCTTCAAAATATTCTTAACATTAAATCTATTAGTATATATATAAAGAATAGTTTATATTAAAAATCAACAATAACAAAAGAAAAAAAAAAATAAAAAAACTACCACCACTGACTTAATTAATATATATCTTAAATAATTTTAATAATAATATAAAAAAAATTAAACTAAAATAAGAAAAATAATAATATTATATTTATACCTCCATTTTTTTTTTTTTTTTTTATTTTTCACTTTTTTTTTATATATTTTCCTTCACAATTTTTATTTTTTAATTTTTTTACTTTAGTATACTGGATTTACCATTTTTTCGCTAAATAATAATTATTTAAATACCACCATAACCACCATTTTATTTAATAACCTAATACTATTAGTAACAAAATAATAAATTATTTGAAATAACCATATATATCATTCTTTAAAAGATATTTTTAAAATTTTTTTTTTATAATAAATTATTTGTTTAAAAAAAGAAATTTTTTTTTTATTTAATAATTTTAAAATCAAAATAATTTAAACAATAATAAATAAATTATAATATCAAATAGTTTAATCAATATTTAATAAATCAGAAAAAAAAATTACTTTTATACAAAATTTTATTATAAATAATATTTCTAAAAAAAAAAAAAAAATCTTTCAATAATCATAAAATTTTAATATTTTAAAATATAAAATGATCGCAATGGTAAATTCAGCTTTTCAATGTTCAAATAATTTCAACTATTCAAATCAAAATAATTACTTAGTACAAACTGTACCATCTCTTCAACAAAATGAATCTGATCAAAGTCTATCCGATTCTTCACAACAAGTAACAATTCCTAACCAATCATCATCACCATTACAACAACCATATCAAGATCAAAATAATCAACCAATTTTTTATTATCAAACTCCTAATAATTTTCAACAACAATTTAATAATTTTAACAACCAAGAGTATCAATATTTTCAACAACAACAACAAAATAATTTTGTTGATTATCAAATAAAACAAGAATATAATAATTCAGTTCCTTATGACTATCAAACATCACAAACAAACCAAGCACAAATTTCTATCAATATTGATTCAAAAAAAAGAAGTTATGAACAAATGTCACCAAATCAAACCCATAATTATATAATGGCTTCACCCATTCAAAATTCAAACTCATCATCATACTATTGTCCAAATTCACCAAATTCACCAAATTCTACTTCATCTTTATACCAAACTTTTAATATTGGCCAAATGTCACAACCCCCATCACCAAATTTTATAAACTCATCAAACAACTCAATTCAAAATGAAGCAGTTTCAGATGAAGAATTGGAGGAACAATATAAGGAATACTTTTCCACATTCATAACAAATATTATAGAAAAAGAACAATTATCCAACCTTATAAATGATTTTTTTAATAATGAAATCAATTTAAGCATACTATTCAAAGAATTTAAAGAGTTTCAAATTAATAATAGTTCATTTTTAAATAGTTTGATAGAGTTTTTTTTAATTTTCGATTGTACCAATAATAATAATGAAATGTTAAAATTTTTAAAAAAGCATGGTGTTGAAGAAAATGATTTGGCAATAGATCAAAAAAGATTATCCCATTTATTTCAAGAATTCGAAAGTGGATTAAGAGGTGTAAGTTAATTTTATATCTTTATGTTTTTTCTTTAATTTATAAATTGAATATTAATATTTTATATTTTAATATAGCAAGATAAATCGTTTAAAAAAACAACAAGTAGAGGATTAAGAAATCCTCCAAATAAATGGACAAAAGAAGAAAGTTCAAAATTAATACAATTAGTACATGAAAATGGTGATAAACAATGGAAAAAGATTGCAGTACAAATTGGAGGAGGTAAAACAGGTGCCCAATGTGCTCAACATTGGAAACGTGTATTATGTCCTGCAATTAGAAAGGGTTCATGGGATGAGGAAGAGGAAGCAAAGTTATTTATATTGGTTGAAAAGCATGGTCAAAGTTGGAAGAATGTTGCAAGTGAAATTCGTACCCGTACTGACATTCAATGTAGATATCAATATTTTAAATCGTGCATGTCTAGGGAGGTACCATGGTCCTCTAAAGAGGATGAAATTTTACAAAAGAAAGTTATTGAAAGTAAACAAGATGGTAAAGAAATTGGTTGGATGGATCTTTCAAAATCAATGGCAAGAGCAAGACAAACTAAAATTCCTAGAACCGCCTTAGAATGCAAAATAAGATGGGATTGTATTTCAATGGGCTCAATAATTGATGGTTTACATGACAATATCTCTTCAAACTTTTAAAAAAAAAAAAAAACTAAAAAAAAAATTAAAACAAATTATAACATCAAAAACAATAAAAACAGTATTAAAATATCGATTAGTTTAGTTAATAAAATAAAAATATTTATTAATAATAAAATTTATTATTATATTTTATAAATAAAAACAAAGTTTTTTATTTTTTTTTTTTTATTAAATATCTAACATTGTTTTAATTTGATCAGGTTTATATTGGAAAATTTGATTTGGCTCGTCATATTGATTAAATGGATCTAGTATTGATTTATAAAGAGATGAATAAGCAACCGATATTAAATTTGAAACACTTTTTTTAGAGTAGACTTTAAGGGCGGTATCTGAAATTTTTTCACAATTTGGCATAGCCAAGGAACCGAAATTTTGTTCTAAACAATTATCAAACTGTCTTATAGATTGTACAACTGATAGTCTATCCATGCCAATATTTTGAGATAGTGGTGTTTTATTATCGCTATATTGAAGAATTGAAAGTTTTGGACCTATTCCCATTTGTTGTAGAATTTCGCTAGTTTGCTCCTCAACCAAAGTGTCCATATGGGCCTCTATTTGGCAAGATAATAATTCTAAATTTGATTTGGTAAAGTTATAGTTTTCTAAAACTCCTTTAATTAAGCTAAGACTATTGATCATAAATACTGCCATACTGATTAGGGGTAGTTTAGAAGAGGTTGCAGAGAATGTTGTTAAGTTAATGATCTTTTGAATAAAACTACTAAATACAGGAATATATTCTTTCTCTCTTTCATCTATTGGTATTAATGATCCATTAAATGTCGATAGTAAATCGCTTAGTTTGTTAACTGAATCTTTAATTTCATTAGTTGGTAATAAATCTTGATGTGATGGTATAGTTGGTGATCTTTCTAATTTATCAAAATGATCCTTAATTTGTGTGAAAAATACTGATAAACAATTTGATTTAATTAAATTAAATATATTTGAAATTCTATTATTAGCTATAATTTGTTGTTGCTGTTGTTGCTGTTGGTTTAATAATTTTTTATTTGAAACTAAGATTGAAATAGCCATTCTTGAATAAAAATCTAACAATGATATCATACGATATGTTATTATAATACCTGGTTTGCTTTGTAAAATTTGTTCAACTCTAATTGATAATGGTCTATTTATACATTCAAAGCTATCATTTAAAACTTTTAAAATAGGATCGATAAGCTCTTCATCTTGTTCTATTGAGTTTTGTTGGTCACTATTTTGTTGCTGTTGTTGCTGATCATTAATCTTATCATTAATTTTTATTGTAACCTTTGATAATATAGTCGAAACCAATTCAAATTCTGAGGCTAAACATTGATGGATCCATGCCAGCATGTCACCTAAATATCTTTGTGGATCATGGGCATTTATTTCTATTGGTCTTGGCATACCATTGGGTCCTCCAAAAGATAGAGCAGTTATGAAACCTGTGGAAATTGTTTTTGAACGATACTCTGAAATCTCATCCAAACAATGTTTTAATAGTAATGGTCTTGTCTGTAATGAGCCTAATGCCTGTGGTAACATTGATGATTGTTTTCTTTGTTTTAATGACTCTTCATGTTGTCTTGAATCTATATTATCAGATCTATCGTTGTATGAGTTTTGTTGATTATCTTTAAATGATTCTATGGTTGGGTTTTCTCTTTGCAATGTTGATTTTATTATTTCTTTAGTCCAGCCATATAGTCTACGATATGCAGTTTCTTGATGTTTATTAATTTGCTCCAGTATTTCAAATGTTGGCTTTTGGTATTGATTATTAATTAGATTCTTTTTACACTCTAACTGAATTTCTGATAACCTATCTAAAGCTCTATAGAAATTTGAGTCAATATCAGTGCTATTTGTTAACGAATATTCTTCTTGTTGGCTTAGTTTAAACTTTTTATAAAATTCATTTAATAATTTCTCTTTCTCTTCGATATCTTTCAAATTTTCTGTTAACATATTCGCATTTGTTAATAATTTGCTTGACACCTTATTGGTCGAATTTAAATGATTGCAAATATCATCACAACCTGTTTTAATTTCTTCAAAATCCTTTATTAATTCGTTTATACTCTATATAGTTTTTTTTTTAATTATTAAAATTTGTTAACTTTATTAACAATTTACTTTATATACTTTAAGTATAGTTACATCATTCAGTTGATTAAATTGATCTAAAAATTCTATATTAATGTCTAAATATCTTTTTTCTATTTCACTTCGCAAATTTCTTCTTGCACTGATGGAATTTGCTGTATAAAAAGTGGATAGTTCCTCGAGTGCATTTGATAAATCTTTAGAATCTAATTTAATTTCTAAAACTTTTTGAATTTTTCTTGATAAAGTTGTATTCATTTATATAAATTAATTAATAAAAACTGAAAAGGATATTAAATAAATTAAATTAAATAAATCAAAGTAAAATAAAAAAAATTAAAAAATGAAAAAAAATTGAAAAAAAAAAAATTTTAAAAATAAAAAAAAATAAAAAAAAAAGGTGATCTTTACATTTTAAAAAGGGTGAAGAAATAATTATAGTTTTATTTATTTCCAATTATATAAACCATTTATTTAAACAAAAAAAAAAAAAAAACAAAAAAAAAAAGAAATAATTTAATATATTTTATTGAAAGAATTTTTTTTTTTTAAATTTTTAAATTTTTTTTTTTTTTTTTAATATTTTTACCTCGAATTATTATTTTTATTTAAAAAAAAAATTAATTTAAAATTTTTCTGCCAAAGCTTTAATAATAAAATTTTTTTTTAATACTAATTAATAATTATTTTAAACCGTACAAACAATATTTATTTATTTTATTATTATACATTTGTTTTATTATCATTATATATTTTATTTAAATAATATATATGACATCTATCGAAAAATTATTAATTCAAGGTATTCGTAGTTTTGATCCAAAAGAATCAAGCGTCATTGATTTTTATTCACCATTAACATTAATTGTTGGTCAAAATGGTGCAGGTAAAACGGTATGTAGTATTGTTTATTATAGTTACCATTAAAAGGGTTTTGATATTTACTTTTAATTTTAATTAGACAATTATAGAATGTTTAAAATATTCATGCACTGGTGAAATGCCTCCAAATTGTTCAAGCGGTCAAGCATTCATACATGATACTAAAATAGCGGGAGAGTCTGAAGTAAAGGCGCAGATTAAATTAAGGTTTAAGAATCCTATTGGCAAGCCTATTGTAGCATCTAGATCTTTATCATTAACTCAAAAAACAAAGAATAAACAAGAATATAAACAAATTGATGCATCATTACAATCATATACAAGCGAAGGTCAAAAGGTTAGCAAGTCATTTCGTTGTAGCGATTTAGATAAAGAGATACCGGATTTAATGGGTGTAGCTAAACCAATTTTAAAACATGTAATTTTTTGTCATCAAGAAGAGTCAAATTGGCCCCTATCGGAGAGTAGCAAATTGAAACTAAAATTTGATGAAATATTTTCTGCTGTAAAATATACAAAGGCATTAAAATCACTAAAAGATAAAAGAAAAGAATTGACCACCACTGTTAAAGAATTAAAACTTCAATTAGAAACTGTCAGTGCCCATATGGAGAATGTAAATAGAATAAAGAATGACTTAACAAGAATGCAAGATCAATACTCAACCGGCAGCAAAAGTTTAGACTCTATTAAAATCGAAATGTTGGAAAAGCAAAGGATTCTTCAAACTATTAAAGGAGCAGAGCTAAAACTGCGTGAATTAAAGAATGATATCAATGTTTTAAATGCCAGAAAATTAGAAATGGAAAAAGTGAAAAACCAGTTATTCAACTCACTTACAGAAGTATTTCAAGAGTCTGATGAAGAGTTGGTATTCATGCAATCGACATTCAGTGATGAACTTCAAGTGATGTTAACCGCTGAAAAAGAATTGACCGATAATTTAGAAAGATTAATTAATGAAAAAGAGTTTATAAACCAAAATTTAAAAGAAAAGAATCAACAACTTGGTAAATTAAAATCACAAATCGAACAACAGGTTCATGTCAGCAATGACCGTGATAAGCAAATGGACGAGTTTATTAGTCGTTATAGAATGAATGAATTCTCATCCCTTGTCAAACCCTATAAAAACGAAGAGGTCACAAAATTTATTAATCAAATTCAGTCAAAGTATGAAATGTTAACTGCCACTATAAACAACACATCTAAATCTTATAAGCAAAATATAACAGTAACCAATAATACTTTAAATGAAAATAGGGTAAAACTCCAACAAATTACATCATCTTGTCAATCGAAATCACAACAAATTCAAACTAATCAAAATAAAATTCAACAAATTGATAAAGAAGTTTTAGAACGTACAGAATCAATTGATCAAATTGAAAAGCTAGAACAAGAAATTAAACAATTGGAAAAAGAAGTTAATGATATTCAATCTGATTCAACAGTGCAATTAAATCAAGAGATTTTGGACTCTTTAAATTCTCATCGTGCAGATTTAGAATCATCATTATCAAAGTTTAAAAACTCTTTAAAATTATTAAACCTGCAATTATCATCGCGTACAAGATTAAATATAAAAAGAAACGAAATTAAGCAAAAATCAATTCAAATACAAACCAAATTCAAAGATAATTTATTACAATTAGCTCCAATTGTTGGTGATAATACTGCCAATGAAGAAGAGTTATTAATAAAATACTTGTCAAATAAAATAAATTTACCATTATTGCTAAAGAACGAGTTGGATCAAACTAAAACCAATGAAATCAATGATGAAATTCAAAAGCTACAATCAACTAAAAATCAAATTGATTATCAATTAACTAATCAAATTGAACCTGAATTATCCAATAAACAAGCACAGCTAAAAGAAAATGAAGAGAAAGTGGGTCAATTAATTGTTTTTATTAATCAACTAGGAAATGATAATTCAATTCAAGATTTAATTAATTTACAAACTGATGGGGAAGAAATAAAATGGAGACTGCTTAATTTAGATTTATCAAATTGCTCAAACGAAATCAATAATATCATTTCCAACTTCAAAAAAGTATTAGAGAATAAAGAGAAACTATTTATTTTATTAGAATCTGAAGATGTACTATATAAGGAATACATTGAAAAAGCAAATGATAATAAAGAGTGCTCTTTGTGTAAAACTGAAATGAATGATAACAATAAATTAAAATCATTTGTGCATAACCTGGAGTGCCATCGTAAAGATATTCCGAATCAAACACGAAAATTAAAGATTGATATTCAAGAAACTAAAGAGATTTTATCAAAAATTGAAAATACCGTTCCAATCATTAATCAATATTCGTTATTATTAGAAGAAATCCCAAAATTAGAATTACAAAAATCCTCATTATCAAAGGAAAGAGATCAATTAAACAAAGATTATGAATCAATGAAATTAAAATATGAATCAAAAGAAACAAAATTAAAAGGATTACAACAATTAATACAGGTTTTGGAATTTACAGATTCAATCAAACAAACTATAGATACAATCGAAAGTGAAATTCATCAAGAGGAGAATGAAATCAGAAAACAAAGCTCAGATCTTAGAACTGTTGAAGAGGTCGAACTGGATATAGAGAGTCATGAAAAGCAACTTGAGCAAACAAATAACGAAATCCAAGTGCATTTAAAAAAACAAAAACAGGTTCAATCAAATCTATTCGAAAAGAATTCAAGCTTAATCGCAATGAAAAATAAATTGACAAATATGAAGTCTTCAGATGGTATTATTGATCATTTAAGGGAAAATAAAAGAGAATTACAGGAATTAAATAAACAATTAGTTATTGAAATAGATCAACTCAACAACAGCACCAAAACTTCACTCGAGCAAGAAATTGAAAAACTTGAAAAAGAGTTTCAAAAACAAGAAAGTGAATATGAAAAAAGAATTGAAACCTTTTCAAAAGAAAAAAATGTTTTCTCTTATCGTTTAGAGTCAATTAAACAATTGCAATCCAAAATATCAAATTTAGACTCTAATCAACTAGAACAATCAATTTTCGACCTACAAAAAGAGATCACCGAACATGAAGAGAAGGTTCAAATTATTTCTGATGATTATAATACTGGTCAACAACATATTGCAACCATTCAACAAAATTTATCTGGTAAAGATGCCACCAAACGTGCAATTGCTGATAATATTGCCTACCGTCAACAGCTATTAAATTTAGAACAAATTACAAACCAAATCATTAGAAAATCCGAATTGGTTAAAGAAATGCATCAATCCCAATTAGAAATAGATTCATCTAAAGTGGAGCAAGAGTTAAATGGTTTAAAATCACGTTTCGATCAAATCACAGGTTCAACAAGTGTATTAGAAGCTCAGATTAGTAATTGCCAAAGAGAGCTTTCAAAACAAACTTACAAAAGTATAGATGAACAACATAAGAGTCTTTTAATCCGTTTGCATACCACTGATACTGTTGGCAAAGATTTAGATAAATACTACAAAGCCCTTGACAAAGCATTAATGAAATATCACAACTTAAAAATGGATGAAATCAATCGTTCAATTAAAGAAATTTGGCAAACTACTTATAAGGGCAATGATATCGACACAATCGAAATTAGATCTGAAGAATCTGGTACAGCAAACAAAACTATAAACTATCGTGTAGTAATGATCAAAGGAGATGTCGAACTAGATATGAGAGGTAGATGTAGCGCAGGCCAGAAGGTGTTAGCATGTCTCGTTATTCGTTTAGCTTTGGCCGAAAACTTTTGTTCAAATTGTGGTATTTTAGCATTGGATGAGCCAACCTCACATTTAGATCGTGCAAATATCGAATCATTTGCAAACTCTTTATTAAATATTATTGAATCCAGAAAGTCTCAAAAAGGTTTCCAATTAATTATTATTACCCATGATGAAGAATTTGTGCAATATTTAGGTAGAGGCAATTATTGTGATTATTATTGGAGAGTTACAAAAGATGCTAGGTTTGTATAACTTTTTTTATTGTTAAAATATAAATTATTACAAGATATTAATTTTTTTTTTTCATCATTTATAGACAGCACAGTAATTTAGAAAGAAAAGAAATTGCGGAACTTTAATAGCAAAAAATCAAATTGTAAATAGCATAATAACAGAATTAAACAAAACGTTTCAATTCCTTAAATAAAAAGTAAATAAAAATAATATTTTTTATGGTTTTTTAAAAATGTATTTTCAAATATTTTATTTTTTTATTTTTTTATTTTTTTTTTATTGTTTCAAGTATTTAATTAATAAAAACATATGCCTAAATAAAGATAGTAGTGAAAATAATAACTAACAGATAACTATAAATTAATAACCCCACCCAAGAAATACATATTCACAAACAATAATAATAATTTTGATTATCAGATTAGAAGACCATAATTATAATAACAATAATAAAAAAGAGGTTATTATATTCTTCGTTATTGGAGATAGTTGGTTAAAAAAAAAAACAATAATTAATTTATAAATCAAACAACCACATTCTTCAATCTCCAAAAAATTCTTTTGTTTTGATATTGTTTAAAAATCCTTTTTTTCTTTTAAATTTAGGAATTATGAAAAAATCTATAGAAAAAATTTATAAATTTTTTTTTGTGTTAATTTAAAGTATTAAGACTAGTTTTTTATTTTTTTTAAATAGAAAAAATTTAAAAAAAGATATTTTAATTTTAATTTGTTTTATTAAATATTTTTAGATAAAATAGTATAAAATAATAGTAAATTCAAAATTTAAAAAAATTTTTTTTTTTATTTATAAACAAAAAGTTTTTTTTAGATTTTTTGACTTGTTACTTTTCTTTGTGTATTTATAGAGTAGGGTTTTTTATTGTTGTTGTCCTGTTGTTTAATTAAAAAAAAAACACTGTGCCTTAGAGTAGGTACACAATCTCTCAACAAAATATATAAAAAAATTTTATTTTTTAAATATGTTTCAAGTATTAATCTTTGTATTTTTATTTTATTGTATATTTGATTTTGTAAGATTCTATTTTTTATTAATTTTATAAAATTTATAAGAATCTAATTACTTTTTTTTTTTAAAATCGAAAGTTGTATAAAAATATTGCATATAGGAAATGGGAAGGGCCTTGGGCTGTACCACTATTAGGAAACTTATTACATGTGTCAAAAGATGCTCATTTGGTATTTTCTAAAGATCAAAAAAAATTCAATGGTGGCAAATTTGGAAAATATTGGTTTGGTGATTCAATGGTTATGGCTATATTCGATGCAAATTTTATGAGGGAAATTTATCTTAAACATCCAGAATCAATTAACACAAGATTAAAATCACCTATTACATCAATTCTTTCAGAAAAGTATAGAGGTATTGTTACAGCAGACGAAAATTATTGGGCATTTCATCACGAGATATTAAGCAAATCATTTAGTGGTAAAAAAATTAAAAGTATAATATCATCAATCGAAAAAGAAACCGATAGTCTTATTGGACATATGAAATTTATTTTAAAATCGGGACAAAATGTAGGTAAAAATTATATTTACTAAATAAAAAAATATATTAATAAAAAATTTTTATTTAAAACAATAGTTTGAAACAAGAAATAATTTAATGAACTTTAATTCAAATATTGTATTTGATTATGTTTTTAGTAGACGTATTGAAAATATTTACGAAGGGTCAAGTTCGGAACAAAGTCAAGTACTTATAGAGATTAGAAAACTATTCGATTTTCTTGCCCATTTTAAAGTTCAAAACTTTATAAAAATATTAAAACCATTTTATTATTTATATTTAAAAATATTTGGACATCCAAATGACAATTTAAAAAAGATATTATTTAAATATTATTTAGAACATTGTGAAACCATCAATTTGGATTCACCAAGAGATGTTTTAGACTCTATGGTAATAGAGTATCGTAAATTTGGTGGCAAAGAAGAGGAAAAGTCAATCCTAGCAATGTCAAATGAATTAATTTTAGCTGGGGTAGAGACAAATAGTATTGCAATGGAATGGTTTATTATTCAAATGATTAACAACCATAAATATCAAGACAAAATTTACAACGAATTATTAGAGGCCCTCAAAAGCAACAAACTCACAAGTAATTCAAGTAACAAAATAAAATTATCACACAGACCATTAACCCCACTTTTTAATGCTTCATTAAGAGAAACAATGAGAATGTACCCACCAATTCCATATGGTGTTGGAAGAGAAGTAAATGAAGAGTTTGAAATTGAAGGTTATAAAATCCCAAAAGGAGTAAGTAAAAAAATAAATAAAAAAATAATAAAAAAAATAATAAATTTTTTTTAATATTTCCACAGGCCCATATTCTTCAATCATATTATTCAATGTTTAGAGATGAAAATCATTATAATGAACCAAACGAATTTAAACCCGAGAGATTTTTATTAGAATCCCATTCAAATAATTATTTCCCTTATGGAATAGGTGTAAGAGCATGTATGGGTATGTCCATGTCTCAAGATGAACTTTATATATCTCTAACCAATATTCTATTAAATTTCAAAGTATCTTCAATTGATGATAAACCAATAAATGAAAAACCAAGTAAGTAAATAATTATTTTTTTATTTTTTTTATTAGATACAAAAATACTAATATTTTTTATTTTTTATTTTATAGATTTTGGTTTTTCATTTAGACCAAATGAATATTCAATAAAACTAGATTTCCGATAATCAGTTATTCTATTGTTAAAAAAAACAATTCTTATCATTTATTTTAATAAGCAATTTTTTTAATTTAAAATTATTTTTAATAAAATTTAATTTTTAATTTTTTTAATTTTTTTTAATTTTTTTTTTAATTTTTTTTGTTTTTCAAATAAAATTATCTGTTATGTGTGTTTTAACATGTTAATTTTTAATATAATTATATTAAAAAAGATAGTGGAATAAAAAACCTTTTTTTTTTAATATAATTTTTTTTTTTTTTAAATCATGTGTTTAATAAATAATAAATAATAAACTATACAAATAATAAATACAAATAATAAATAATATTAATAATTTTTATTAAAATGGCAATAATTGAACAATTAGATTTTAACTATTATAAAAACTATAGAAATGAATATCAGTTTAATGGAAGTCAATTATTTGGGCAAATACTAATTTCAACAATATTCTTTTTTATAGTATTTTATAAATGTAACTATATATCATTACATTTACTGGGATCAAAATCAAAGAAAGCATATATAGGATTAAACGAAAAGAAACGTTTGGAATGGAACCAGAGAATAATATCAATGGTACATGCTTTATTAGTATTACCATTTTGTTTTTTAACACTATTCGAAGTATTGGAGGTAATTATTAAAATCATTAATTATAATTTATAAAAAAGCTAATTAAAATTTCTAACAATTTTATTTTCTATATTTTAGCATGGTGATATATTTTATTATGAATCTAGTGTTTGCTATTTAGTAATCTCCATCTCTAGTGGTTATTTCTTATGGGATCTATATGTTTGTTATAGATATCCAAAAATAAATGGGATTGCTATGATATTACATGCAATTATGGGTTTCACTTCAAATATATATGTAATGTTACCACAAGGCAGACCAGCATTCATTCCTATTGTTTCTCTTATATTACTTTCAGAATTAAGCACCATACCACTCAACTTAAAAGGATTTATTCAAGATGTAAACCCCAAATCAAAATACTATAATGCCCTTTTATTGGCTTTTGTTGGCACTTTTCTTTTTGTTAGATGTGTTTTAGGTATACCTTTCAATGTTTATCTAGCCTATGGTTCTATTCAACGTTTGTCTATTTTTCCATTAGATAAATCTTTGGTATTCCTAACTGAAGATTTAATTTCATTTTCTTTAAATAGCTATTGGGGCTTTTTAATGATCAGAAAATTAATACAAAAATATGGCTCAAAAAGTAATTCAAAACAACAACAAAATAATAATGATATAACGAAAGTTCAATAAATGTAAATAGATAATCAAAAAAATAAAGATAACAAATAAAAATTTGGTGTATTAATATTTAGTAAACCAGATTTTACAAAAAAGGGTATTCATTTTATTTGTTTTTTCATAGAAATTTTCAAATATTTTTCATATAAAATTAAAAAATGTTTGAAATAATTAAATTATTTTTTTTTTTTTTTTTTTAAATTTTTTTTTTTTTTTTTTTTTAAATTTTTTTAAATTAAATTAAAAGATAATTAAACAATATCTTTGTTTTTTTTTTTTATTGAAATTCGGTATAATTATATTTTATTTATATATGGAAAGTAAAAGAATAAGAGCAGATATTTCAATAACAGTAAAAAATAAACTATGGGAAAATTTTTCAGATTCAGTTATATCACTTTATAGAAATGGGAATGTATATATAACTATTATTATCCTTTTATACATGTATAAAATACTAACTTAATTTTTACTATATTAGCTGAAAGTGAAGTATGTTTTTATTTTGATAAATTCAAAGACAGGGAAATTTTATTGACAAGCAATATAAAGCATTTAGAGATAAAAAAAGATAAAGAAATTGAAATCTTATTTCTTAAAGTTTTTCATAGTTTATTAGTTAAGTTTCTAAATATAGAAGAAGACTATTGGGAGAAATTAATTGTTTTTTTAGAAAAAATAAAAAATGGGGAATATCAAGATGAATATAATATACCATTTTATAAAAGTATAAATAATACAAATTTAACAACAACAACAACTACAACTACAACAACAACATCACCACCAAAATTAACCTTTTTAAACAATAAGATTTTTGGGTAATAAAAATAAATTTTCAGCACCGGTAACTACCAAGTTCACTCATACACC